GACTGCGCCAAAGAGACGAATGACCCGGCCAGAAGAGATGCGCAGAAATGGGGGGCGGAGGGGGGGCCTTTTGTTGGACTTTTGGGCTCCTAACAAGCAGCAGAGTTGATTTGATTTGTGCACGGAAATGCGTCAAGGAGGAGGTCTTAAAGTGGAGCTCGATAGCGCCTCCACAAACGGGGTAGGAATTGATTCGGTATTTCTACGAGCAGTCACCCGCGCAACGCCGCCGTCCCTTGTCGCAAGCACTTTGCAAGGTATAGTGCTGAGACGGGACGGCCACATAGTGCCGATTGTCATTGACGCTGAGGCTGCTCTACCTGGTGCACGAGAATTCTCCTGCCCCAAAGATCACGCTCGTGTATGTCAGGAACGCTGCCTCACGATAGCCTGAAGAGCTTTGGCTGGATCCGACTATAAAATCACAAGCCAACATCATACTCGCGTTCTCCCTCGCTCCAACATACCTGATCCAATCCGATTGGTAATCCGACCCGCCCAAATATCGAACTGCAAACTCTCTCGACATGCGCCTGCAACTTGTTGTTTTGCTCTCACTCTGGACCAGCTGCGCCATGGTCTTTGGATACCTGACTGGCCAGCAATGCTTCGATCAGGATTGTCCTGTCGGTCTCTGCAACTGCTACTCTGGCTGTACTTGCGCTGGGGGCGAGGGACCAGGCGGACCACCTAGCAGATTCAAGAGGGTGAGTAAAGACTGAGTGCGACTGCGATGCAACCAACGATGCCAAAGTTGGCGCAGACCCAAATGAACGAGGGCTTCGTTTGCTTTTATTCTCACACACCCACAGAGCATATCAGACTCCGACTCACTGGCTGCACCTTTGCTTCAACCTCGAGATGACTCGTCCTCCATCCACGGCTTGGATAGTCCTGCGCTAAGCACCAGAGATCAGACCCTGGGAGCTTATGGCAGTATCGGTGGCAGGGGAGAACGATACCGCCCTCCGGTATGCCATGGAGCTCATGGCTGTCCGCCTTGAGCGAAGCCGAGGGAAGCCATCCCAGCCCTTGGAAGGCGTTAACCTTGAGCAATGGACCACGTTGCTGGCCGGAGTGAGGGTGAACCGCCTGCTCCATCCGGCAGATTCTGTGCGCCTCACATTAAAGAGGTTCGACAGTATCGAGATTCCGGCAACAAAGCAGTCAAAGTCGGCACACTGCTCCCCTCGTACCTTCAAAGCACTTTGAAAAGAAAAACCCTTCAAGTATGATCCCCAGCCAACAACTCTTCATTTCCTGAGAGTGTGAACCCGTTCGATCCGTCCGACACATGCTATCATTCGATCCGGCCACTTTTTGTAGACACCAGTCGCGATCGCGCGAGCCCAAGGTCCTATACTCCGAGTCATCACCTCTTCCACCTGTCGTTCCGCACTACGTCCAACCAATTCGTCCCCACCCTGAAATCTTTGGCTCATTCAGATCAGAATACCACGTATTCCAATTGAAAACTTTTAGCTCACGACAAGTCACTTTGTCGGAAGGCTGCCTAGCGCAGAGTGCTCGACGACACGCACCAAAGTCGACTGCCCTTGAAAATCTGAAGAGCAGAGTGCCAGCAGGCGCTATACTCTTCCTTTCACGCTTGCGGCCTTTCGTGTTCCCAAATTAGCACAATCAAAATCACAATTGTGAATGCGTATGTCTTGACGCACTGCGACTAATAATTGCTCACGACTCACGCTGCGAAGATCACAACACCCTCACGGTCAAGCGTGATGCTTTGTGACCAAGGAAAGTGATTCATTGAACGTGGCTTGGCGTTCACGAAGCGGTCCACTCCTCCATACAACAGGGCACCCACGACCGCCTACATCCTATCTGAGGGTCCAGGGTGCATCACTGGCATGGGGCACTGTACATTGGCGAGTGCAATAAACCTCTGAAGCTCGGAGTACACTATGGTCCGAGGTTTTCAGAGAATTGCCATATGGTGATGCGTGCAGACATCCAATGTCGTGGTTACAACGCCAGCCGCGGATGTGTTCATGGCACCGAGCGCCGTGGGAACAATCTACCCAAGTTGGTGCGCGAAGCCCGTCTTATCCGTTTTAAGCACAGCGCCAGCCGCATTCCGGAGGCCAGGGCGGAGAAGACTCTATTCACTCATCACATACGGAATCGTGAATCGGTACCCGCGTCTTCTCGTCCTTAGCCCCAATCAGCGCAATCAAAGCTGCCAATCTGACCCAAAGCAAATTCATGATTGCTCTTCCGGGTGCGTGTATCAGACCGGAGCGTTTCATGCGTCGCAGTCTGTCCGAGGGGATCAGTCCTTCAGCGAAGACGAAACATTGCCCGGAGACTGATAGAGCCCACCTTTCCGTGTGACAATCAGACCACACTATTCTGATTGTCTCCATGGTACCTCTCCAAATGGATCAAATTCCACAAACGTTCCCGTCTGACTTACTGCTCTCACCCAATTGCCAATCAAACCGCGATGGACAATGCGTCGCAGTCATTAAAGACTTTGAGGACTGCTATATGTAAATGCTAGGCTGCATCGAGGCACTGGCGCCGGGTAGGTAAGGCGCAAAAGCTACCATGGCCTTGCATGAGTCCTCGTTGCTCGTCAACCGAAGGAGTGCTATGCTATCTCGCACTATCGGCTGGTACTGATGAGAAAAACTCGCCTCTCGACTTCGCGTGTATGTCTCTGACTCGACAACCTCGTGTCGCTGCCCCTCGTTGTGTCTTCGATTGATCAGAAGCGAGAGTCTATAAATTGAACGCAATCCTCAAGCTTTCGTCCCCCAATGCTCGTTACACCTCCTCAGCACGACCAGCTCCCGACATAAGCCTTACACATCCTTCCAAATTGCACCCACTTGAGCGTCTCTGCCCTTCACTGGGCTCAGCTCAGCATGCGCTTGATTCCCTTCATACTGCTCCTCACGGTAAGCATTGCATCCACCGGTGTCTTTGCTCCGAAGCCGACACCGCAGCAATGCTACGCGGCTGGCTGCCCGTTAAATCCCTGCAACTGCGTAGGAGAGTGCCCTTGTGCTCAAATTGGTGACCCTCCGGGTCCAGGCGACCCCACTGAGTCAGACCTTCTTCAGAAGCGATTGAACAGTGTAAGTCAAGAGGTGCAAACGACCCTTCGCAATGGACGTACAATCTGATCTCTCGATCTTTCCTCACTCGCAGGGAGGAATCCTTCTGCCAACTGCTCTTGCGAAGAGAGAATTCACAATAGAGGAACAATGCGGCTTCATCGCCTGTCAGAGTCCGTCATGTGACTGCGTGGGCAGCTGCCCATGCAAGGCCAAGCCAGTAAGTCTGCATTCCAGCAACCCTGTGGGCCAGGCAGACATCTGACCAACCAATGGATTCGCCCACGCTCACGGACAGGACCCCCCTCCCCATGAGCACCCAAAGCCAGGACACCCCGGCAAAAGGTCGAGTGTCTCCTTGCCGGGAAACGCTGAGCTTTGGCCAAGAGCTCTTACGAAGAGAAAATCAGTGCATGGATGCAGTGGCGTTGGCTGTCAGGACCCGGAATGCAACTGCACGGCCTTCTGCCCTTGCATTGTGAGTCTAGATCCCAGCGACCCTGGGGACCGAATACAAAAATGAACCCTCAACGTGCCTGTTTGTTTCACCATCAGGGCGACCCTAACGACCCAGGGGAGCCGGGCCCTACCAAAAGACAAGTTGGTGCAGCTTCTGACGTTCTCGATACGTCGTTCAATCGCCGAGAGGTCTTGCAAGAGCGCGCTCTGACGCTTGATGGAGCGCAGCTGCTCAAGAACAGGGAGAACGCGGTTGAAGATGCGGCCTGCGGCACGAAGGTCTTCTCGCATCCATACTGCCCACCGCACTGCGCCGGAAAGGGCGGTTGTCCGTCTTTTGCTTACCCAGGTCATCCTCCGAAGCGGAGCAATCTCGATGCGGGTACGAGCGAGACGGTGCCATCGGTACTTGATCGGCGCGTCAACAACCTCGAGGGTAGACAGGCCGAGCAGGGAGAGGTGGCTTGCGGCACTGTAGCCGGGT